GTTTTCTCTGGCACAGAGTGGGGGCGGGTCAGATTAGAGACGAGTGTGATTGTATTTTTTTTTGTATTTTCCACACTTGTCATTAATTTCATATTTTTATGAATAAAAAAGCCTGAGGATTAAAAATATTATTAAAAGGCAATTTTCTGAAACAAAGATCAAGACAGTATAAATAGATGTGTGGGAGAAACTCTAATCCCCCAACGGGTGTCTACGTGACCTATGGCTTTTGCTTCTATGCATGGGAGCACTGGGGTTCCCAAGAAACACCTGAGGCCTTCAGAGGTAGGTGGGAGTAGGACAGGGTGCTGAGCAGAAGGAGTTCTGGGCTAGTTTCTATTGCCACCACAACGGCTCTGTTTTGATCTGCTTTATAGGTTAAAAATCTGCTTTATATTTTGATTTTTTTTCTTTTCTTTTTTTTTTTTTGAGATGGAATCTCACTCTGTCACCCGGGCTGGAGTGCAGTGGCGCGATCTCAGCTCACTGCAACCTCTGCCTCCCAGGTTCGAGCAATTCTCCTGCCTCAGCTTCCCAAGTAACTAGCATTACAGGTGCCTGCCACTACGCCCAGCTAATTTTTTTTTGTATTTTTAGTAGAGATGGGTTTCAACATGTTGGGCAGACTGGTCTTGAACTCCTGACCTCGTGACTCGCCCGCTTCAGCCTCCCAAAGTGCTGGGATTACAGGCATGAGCCACCACGCCCCCTGTATATTTTGATTTTTAAAAAGATATCTGCAATCATCAAAGAAGTTTGGAAAGTATCATCAAAGATCTAGAGAAAATGAGGCGAAGGTTGGGGGCAAAGCCTTTAAAGATGCCACCACCCTCGAACCCCTTCCCCTTTCCATCCTGAAATGACGGTAGCTGCCCCAGCGGAATTCTGGGCACACACAGAACACATTATGAACCCAAAGAGCTTACAAGGGGACCGATAGGCCTCGAAGTCATGAAGCTCACAAGCCAGACCCAGCTATCTCAGGCCCCGAGACGGGTGTGTGTGGCCAACGTCCAGCCAGTGTTGGTCTCTGGCCTCAGTGTCTTCATTTGCACAATGAAAGACTGCATTCATCTTCTAAGCTAATGTCCTAGAAACTCCAAAGAGCATCCTCTTACTGAGACAGTGACTACCAACTCTCTGGAGACACAAAATGGCCCACCTAGGCACTCCCTGAGAAGCAATACTGAACTATAAAAATTCAATCCACTTCCTCCAGAAAACTTTTAATATTTCTCTCCCCGATCAAGCCAGCCTGGCAGCTACTATGGCCAGATTAAGTCAAATACCAAATGCTGCAACTTAACATCAGGCTCCCGGACTTCTCAAAGCAAAGCCATTCCTTCTTTTCCCAGGCAGCAGCATCTCTCTCCTGGGAATGGCTGAGGTCTGGTTCACTTCCCCACTCGTTGGCTCCTAGCACCAATGTGGGTCACTCTCTTCCTTTGGGCGTGATAGTCCTAATACCTCCTTTCCTTCCCCCACACACTTGGCCCGTTCCCCCAACCTACCTTTCTCCAATAGTCCAAGAAAGACCAGCAAAGGCCCCTCTGTCTGGCAGATTAAAGATGCTTTAGAATCAATAAATGTCATCCCGCCCTGGCCTGAGTCTGAGCTCCTTATCTGTTGGGGAAAAAAAAGAAAGAAAACTATTTTAACAAGAGAGAATTTCAGAAACCTGTGCATTCTCTTACAGGACGTTAGCTCAGAACCAAATGCTTCATCTCAGTCTCCCCTTTTGCAAACCAATCACATTCCACTTGATCGGCCTTTCTTGTCATCTGCGTCAGTACCACCCCCAGCTCCCTTTGGTGGTACCGAAACCAACCACAGGAGCATTTCCAGTGCCTGGAGCAGGAATGTGCACTCAGATGACTCAGATCGTTTTTAGAGCTGTTTGTTGGTTTTGTTCGGTTTTTGAAAGCAAAGTAATTGATCTGAGCCAAGCCTGGGTTCGAGTTCCATTCAATGGATGCAAAAAGCAGGTTGGTGAACTTGAAATCTTTATTCCCCATGTGGGTCTATTTTCAAGGCCCAGGTCTAAAAGAAAATCCATCCCCTATTGGGCTGGAGATAAAAAGGAAGCGTGTGAGGGGAGGGGCCGCCCACTCCTTGCATCTGTGGTGCTTCTTCCCCTACCTCAGCCGCTCCAGGAAATAACAGAACCCCAAAGAGGGAAAAAAGATACTAGAGCTCCAGACCAAGCTAAAGACCCAACTCCAGGTGCTGGGCATTGCTACCTCCACACCTGGGAGACTTCAGCCCAGAGCCCACGAGGTGGGCTTAGGTTTAGCACAAAACCAAAACCACCCGCTCCCCATAAGACAAACAGCAGAGCCCTACGAACCCGCTGGAAAAGGCAAGTGTTGCAGGAACACATTTCCCAAGGCCCAAGCTGGAGTCCTCTCTGCAGCCTCCATCCCTGGAAGGATGCTCCAGTGACCCTCCTGCGGGAGCCCAGGCGAGTGGGCTCGGAAGCTCCCTTCCCTCAACATCCAGGAAAGCTGGCAAGCACTTCCCAAGGCACTGCCGCCAGAGAAACGCGAGGTCAGCACCAAAGGCTAAGGAAGAAATCCCTTCCATTGCTGACCAATTAAGAGACTGGCCAATACCCGAGTTACCACGACAAATTATAGCAGCTCTGGCACAGGGAAACGAGACAGGATCATAAGGAAAGCCCTTTCAAAACAGGAAAGACAAAGCCAAAAGCAGAGGGAGCCGAGAAGGAAGGGAAGGAGAAAATTCGTCCTCAGGAATTCGGGTCAGGAAATAAGAAGCCAGGACAAAATCCACAAGAGGGCGGCCAGGGAGAAGGCGCTCCCCCGGGGAAGCCGCAGGACCTCGGGGCTTTGGTCTACCACCCTCTAGCCCCTCTGGGTTCAAGGGCACAGCTCGGGAGGGACAGAGCGCAGGAGGCTCGGTCCCGAATCGGGGGCAGGGGGAGGGGAGGACGCGCACAGCCACTGCTGGGTCCCTGACAAGTAAACAGCCTGCCCCGAACAGGCGCGTCCTCGTGCGAAGCCCGCTGGAGGCCCCGCGGATCCCATCAAGGGCGGCAGCCGAGAAACCTGGGATTGATTCCCGACCCCCGGGGGGCACAAAAGGAATCAACCAGATTAGGAGAGGAAAGGAGAGCGTCGCGCGGCCCACGGCTGAGAATCCCACCGAGAGCGCAACCCCCTGCCTCGGCCCCCCCAGTCCCCACAGCCCCGGACCCCCAACGCTTCCACCAAACCGGCCCACCCCGCCCCAGGCGGACAAAGCCCGGGGCTGGGAGGGGTGGGACGCCCGGCGGGGGCTGGGGGCGGGGCACGCGGACCCCGCAGACGCCCGCACAGGTGGGCTCCGTACCGGGTGTCGGTGCCGGGGGGCGGGGCCCAATCTCCCTGGAGACAGTTGCCCAGGGGACACAGCGGGCGGGTCCCGGAGTGACGGGAGGACGCCAGCCTCCGGGCAGCGGCGCGGGGCCGGCGGGGGCTGCAGGGCAGGCCCGCCGCGCGAGGTGCAGGCGAGCGGGGCTCGGCGGAGGGGCGCGGCCCGGGGCGGGGCCGGGACTACGGGCCGGCGGGGCGGGGCGCCGGCTGGGGGCGGGGCGTCCCCGGGGCTGGGGCGGGGCCGGGGCCGGCCGCAGAGCGGGCACCGTCGGCAAATTCTCACACCCCCAGCCAGGAGAAGCGCCGGAGCGCACACGGGCGGCAGAGAGCTGAGAGGACTCTGCAAATCCTCCCCGACCCCTGCTGTTCTCTCCCGGAGGCCCAGGACGTGGCCAGGCGGGGCCCTTGGGGTTCGCGCCCCGAGCCCTAGAACAGCCGCGGGACCCCGACGGCGTGCGCAAGCTGGCTCTGGTCTAGGTCTCCCCTTACAACCGCGCCACCTGCAAAGCAAGTCAGGGCTGGTCGTCCACCAAACTGCTTTCGCTCCCCGCTTCGCAAGGCATCCGCAGAAAGGGCGGGGTACTAGACCCAGGTCACAGATCCGGAGCCAGGCTCGCCCGAGCAATTGACCAGCCCGGGCTCTGGGCTTAAATCCAGCCTCTTGGCTGTTCCCCAGCTGATGGGCCTTTCCATCGGGGGTTCCCTTATGTGTCAGATTTAGAAAATAAATGAGTATACCCAGGACTTTCACTAATGCATCTATCCATTACAACGAGCGGTGTGCGCGCAGTAGTTAACAACACCAAGACATCCCTGCCCCGCACTTAAAATCTGGGCGCTCCAGTGTTTTTGTTTTTGAGACAGTCTTGCTCTGTTGCTCAGGCTAGGGTGCAGTGGTGTGATCATAGCTCACTGCAGCCTCTACCTCCCTGGCTCAATCGATCCTCCCACCCCAGCCTCCCATGTAGCTGGGACCACAGGTGCGCACCACCTGTTTAAAAATTTTTTTGTAGAGGAAGGGGGTCTAACTATGTTGCCTAGGCTGGTCTCGAACTCCTGGGCTCAAGCCATCCTGCCGCTTCAGCTTCCCAAAATGCTGGGATTACAGGCGTGAGCCACCGCGCTCGGCCAGGAGCTCCAGTTTTTATCCAGGCATCTACACTGTAAGGTAGATGTTGTTCTCCCTTGGTTGTAAGTGGGGAAGCCGAAGCTCAGCGGACAGGGACTCTGACCCTCAAGCATTCACACAGACACGGTCTGCACAGACTCTTGGGCCGAGCCAGCGCTGGCACCGGTTTGGTTTGGTGCTGAACCCATACCCTTCTTGCTCTACGAGGGCCCATCTCCGCTTACAATATTCTTTCAGGTACACAGCCCAAGACTGAAAACTTTGCCACAGGGGAACGAAGAGGAGGAAGGGGGTTGACCAGAATCACCCCTGGCGTGTTCCACGGGGTGGGAGAAAGTGGTCCGAAGAACACTCCTTGGTGGTCCTAATTGCTCCACCTGAGGCCACGGCAGGGCCCGCATTCCAGGCCAAAAAGCCCCAGGGACCTTCCTCGTGCCTGCGAAGAGGGCAAGGAGAAAACACGGCGGAAGACCCCGAGAATCTCCAAAAAGCCCGTAATGAAAGGACCAGGCGGCCGGGACCCGGAGCTCCCCAGCCAGGGCGCGCAGCTCAGGCCTCTGCGTCCCAGGTGCCTCCCAGCACCAGGCATCCCTGCCAGGGGTCCCGGATGCCCAGAGCACTCCAAGGAGGAGAGACAAGAGAGGGGGGCCAGGGTGAGAGGGGACACCCCTCTTCCCTGGCCGTTCCTAGAGGTCATACACAGACATTCACTCAAAAAAACACACGCTTGCACGCAGATGCGCACTCACAGACACAGGCGCAATCATGTAAACGGACACAGCCAGAGACCACAAACACTCGTGCTCACACACGCGCTCTCACTCTTCATACCCTGCACAGGCGGGCACTCACCCGCCCACAGCCTGGCTGCGCGTTCGCAGATCCCGGGAGAAGGCGGAGCCCGGGCCCCGGCCCCGCCCCCATGCCCTCCCCAATCCCCCCCTCCTCCCGCCCCCCCGCCTGCCGGAGGGGTGCGGTGAGGCAGACATCCGAGGGCAGCTGGGACCCCCTGACTCAGCCGGCGGGTGAGTCAGGTCCCCTGCAGGCCACCCTGGACCCCCTCTAGAGCGGGGGGTTTCCCCAAGATGAGCCACCGGAAGTCACGCTAGACCTTGGACGGGCAGAGGCTGGGAGGAGTTCTGGGTGCAGAGCCCCCAACCTGGTAAGTGCAATGACCCCGGGGCTAGCCCACCAAAGAGATTTTTCAAAGGGCGAACGAGTTTCAGCGGTTCCTCCACCCTCATTCCCCACACGTAGGAGCCCTCCTCTCCCCCCTCCCCCCGTCCTGCAATCGTCCCCCTGAGTAAGACTTCCGTTATCTCCAGCATGGATGGAGTGAAAGTCAGGCTCAAACACAAGCCCCCCATCAGCAATGGAACCAATGATCGGCTGGGGGTTCAAATTGGGGATGTCAGGCACGGGTGTCTCTGGAGCCCAGAGAAAAATCCAAGGTTCTTTGAAATGGCAAAAGCCCCCAAAATTCACTTTCCTGTATTGCAACTGCCCTGACAGATTCTAAAAACATAGAGACCATAAATCAATTGGGGAAGAATTAAACGAATTAATACAGATACATGGAAAATCTCTAGAACAGCACCTGGCATGCTTATTCAGTATTGGCTCTCACAAATGGGTAACAGACACAGGAGATCAAGTCACTTGCCCCAGGTCACACAACTAGTTAGTGGCACAGGTGGAGGAAAAACCAGTCTCTGATTCTTTGTTCGCAGCTCAGGTACCTTAAGTCCTTTCTGAAATTGATAATATAAAGAAAGTAATTTAGTGGAGAAATAAATGAATTTTGCCACTGTTAAATACCAGAGTAGACTGGGCACAGTGGCTCACACCTGTAATTCCAGCACTTTGGGAAGCCAGGGCGGGAGAATCACTTGAGCCCAGTGTTCAAGACCAGCCTGGGCTACATAGTGAGAATGTCTCTAATTTAAAAAGAAAAGAAAAATCAGAGTAAATTAAGGCGGGTATGGTGGCTCACACCTGTAATCTCAGCACTTTGGGAGACCGAGGCGGGAGGATCATTAAGGGCCAGGATTTTAAGACCAACCTGGACAAAATAGCAAGACCTCGTCTCTACTTAAAAAAAAAAGAAAAAAAAAAATTAGCCTGGCATGGTGGCATTTGCCTGTAGTCCTAGCTAGTTAGGAGGCAGAGGGAGAAGGATTGTTTGGCCCAGGAGTTTAAGGCTGCAGTGAGCTATGATAAAGCCACTGCACTCCAGCCTGGGTGATAGAGCAAGACCCTGTCTCAAAAAAATAAAAAAAAAATTCAGAGTAAATAGAGAAATTAGATTCCTGCCCCTCTACTTGCTACTAAGAGAACCAATCTTCTTGTTAAATCCCCAAACACAGGCAGGAAACCAAATGAGCCTCTGCTGTCACTCATTGGAGCCTTTGTTCCCTTCAAGGAGCCCTAGAAGAGGGGAGAGTATTTGCTGCATCAGTCACTCCTCCGTCTCCTGACACTTTGTAGTCACCTCGCTGTGATGAAATCTCAGCTTCTCCCAAATGCTCACCAATATCCCAGCCCCCAACCTTGCTGGAATTCTGCTATTCTCTAACTCAAATTGGCATTCAGCATTTCTAGATGTGGTCAGATAAGACACCACTGCTGAGTGGGGTCAAGCCCAGGAAGAATGAAGTCAGAAAAAAATAAGATGCAAAGCCAGGAACCGCGGAAGGCGCCTGTAGTTGCAGCTACTCACAGCTGAGGCAGGAGGATCGCTTGAGTTTGAGGCTGCAGTCTGCTATGATAGCGCCTGGGAACAGCCACTGCACTCTCGCCTGGGCAATATAGTGAGATCCTCATCTCTTAAAAACAAATTTTAGGCCGGGCGCGGTGGCTCAAGCCTGTAATCCCAGCACTTTGGGAGGCCGAGGCGGGTGGATCACGAGGTCAAGAGATCGAGACCATCCTGGTCAACATGGTGAAACCCC